TTGAGACAATTAATGGGCATTCTGTAAATTAAGCATTAACTATATCATTGTTTGATTTTATTACCAAGTCCTGCAATCTTATGTCAAATACATTCGATTATCCGCATTCGTGTTCTGATCACAGCAGTGCCAGTGAACATCTATTCATAGCTAGTTCTCATTTTACAGCTCCTACCTGATTACCAGACACTTTCAATAGGTTTTTAAGAGTTAAATGATTTGCCCGACAAGCCCGTTGTTCGCGCCTTGCAAGTTCTCACCACTTGACATGACTCTTTAAAAAGTACGGTTTCAAGGTTGGTATACCTATCCGAATGTGATTGGGCGAATACATTTTAACGAGTGGCACAAATTTCAACTTTCGCCTTAGTTACAGTTTGAGCATCCATACTTTCTAGAAAAATCGCCTCCCACAACTCAGCAAAGCAATCAGCCATAACTAAAATATATTTATTTTGTCTTTTGTTCCCCTTTACCGATCCTCAAATCTGTGTGAATTTCATCTAAAACTCCAAAAACCGTGTAATAAGGAACAGTTTTTTTACTCGAATAATTTGGTACATAGAAAAAAAGATAGTACCTTTTTCATCGTTATTATGAATTCGCACATATACCACAGACAGATATCTTCTCAACTTACACCTTGTGTTTATCCTGAAGATGGCTCTTCAAAGCGTCAAGCACTATTGAAGTTTATGGATCTGTTGCCTAACTATGAGCCTATTTACTATCTTCCATAATTTCCACCTCTATTAACTTGTTTTTCAGTGCGACTCACAAAAGACAGGTTCTGTATGGTTAAGCTGCTCCATGTGGTAGGGCCGCTGTGCACTGATGCTGTTGATTGGGACGATGAATGTACTCGTATTACTATTCTTGCAACCACTCCTGCCGTCGAGCGATTCGCCCTTCGGGATATATGAAGTTGTGCAACCATCGGTTTTAATGACACACGCACGTTTCAGGAAGTAATACTGGAGCTATTGCACAAAGCAAACAACTGCTAGCATGTTTTATGAAGTTGTCAAATAATGTTCCTTCGAATTACGCAACATTCGGTTTCAGTACTCAACCAATCTTTCTTTTCCGATTGAAGAAACTTTCTACAATACAGGACCGACAATCTGGTCACTTGCATCGGTGTCAAAGATGAAACGGACATTAGTAAGAGAACTGTCTTGATATGCTAAAGTCGGTATCTCACACAACGAGCCCCTTAACCAGTCGAAAGACTGTTGACTTGTTTCAGTTTATTGAAAGCTGACATTCTTTCCTAACAAGGTATAAACTGGCGTTGAATACTTTGTTGAAGTTAATCCCCTGCAAATAAATTCTCGCCTCAGTTATCCTCCAAGCAACTTCAACTTCTCAAGTACAGGTACTAATCTTACCAATCATTTAATCAACAACTTTAAGTCAAAGTTGATTTCTTTTTTACATTTAGTTGACGTGACATCGTTGAATATATCTCTACTGAATGCCACAATGGAGTGCAACTGGTTAATGGGCGATAGCTGCTCTTAACCCTATCTAGGATCCATAAACTGTCCGATAATCAGTGACCCGACTGCCAGTTGATTTGGCTAGGGTCCAATGACATTTATTTGGCTGCGACAATATATGACCCTCCATTCAGTCAAGATTCTATAGCCCGTGTTAAGTGATTACATGGTAGCAATTGTTTGACGCTGAGCGAAGAAAACCTCAAAGCAGTAGTGAATATATGCAATGCACACTATGTAGGCCAATTTACATTCACATTGTATCTGCATATCTAGAACAGACATGATAGGAGGTCTGAACGCCAAAGTCAGAATGGATAATACCGGATATGGAGATATTACTGAATATTCCTAAGACAATTAGTACACTGAAATATTAATACACTGATGGACCATACGGTATTCCGGCTAGACTGCTAAAAATGGGGATGATGACATGTGTGTTTTACTTCTCAAACTATTTTCGATATCACTTCCCACAGAGTCTTACCCTACTGCCTGGAAAACTATACATATCTTCATTCTTAACAGAACGTAAGCAAATGGTAAAGTGCAATGACTCTCTCTCATCATCTAGACCAATAACTAGTGGAGTCATCTAGGGAAGCATATTAGGTTCGCTCTTGTTTCTTATGTATATAAACAATGTAAAATTTGAGAGACCATACTTATACGCTGATGATCTCAAAATAGCACACGGCTTTAATTCTGAGGCTATAAGTGAAAGTGTATCCCAGATTTAAAGTCACCTCAATAACCTAACTATATGGAGCAAAAAATGGCAATCACCACTTAGCCTCAACAACTGTGGGATCATCCATTTTAGAAAACATCTCTACGAATAACAACTTTACTTAAATAAAGGTAGAGTTCAAACACTCGAATCAGTGCACGATCAATCTATTAATTACACAGAAAGCCTAAAATTTGAAAAACATGCCTTCTTTATTATTTCTAAACCTAGACGGATAGTTGGTTCCATAATGAAAAATTTCCCCACAACAGAGACTAAGCTTACCCTTTACAAAAGATGTATACGACGATTTCTTGAATATCGCTTTTATCTTCTCAAACATGAATACCACAGACAAGAAAAGCGTATAAGATCTCCAAAGTCGCTTCACACACAGATTGCTATGATATGATTCCACTATCAACTGCATAGATCGATGTGGGCATCTCTCCTTAGAACCCTTATGGCGCCGTCAGTCATGGAAGAAACTAATATTTCTGTGCAAATTAATATGTGGACTCCCATTGCTAACCTCTTGCCCGGTCGTGATTCATAACCAAGTCCACAGACTCAGAAACAACGCATATACACCTCTTATTGTTGAACACCGGAAACCAATGCGTTGTAATTCTTTTTACAGTGCGGTATATATTTTTATGGAGCAGGTTGCCAATACCTATCCGTAACTGTGACACTATCATCAAGTTCAAAAATCTAATAACAGTGTTAATTGACGCTAAAAAGCTTTATGAAATAATCGCTAATTTTCTGCTGACAAATGAGGCACTTTATTGGGGACCGTCTAGTATCTAGACCGATCATGAATGTAACGGACCAAGTTGTCCATAATATGAATGTAATCAAACGATAAAACACATGGGTTACCCTCTCCTATTATTCATTGACCATTATTCATGCACGTACGCTCCTAATTTTCACATTCAGACTCCGAATCACTCTAATGGTTATTCCTCCAAAGTGTCAAATCCCTTTTCCCATTTGAAGTTAATAGACAACTCACTAATCACATGGGTGCTGATTAGCTATGGCCAATTGTAAGAAGCTCATAATATCCTAAATTCTTGTGAGCTGCTCATTGTTTTGTTTTTTTACTCCGAAACGTTTACAATTCCAAAGTCTTGCATATTCTTTGATTTGTCATATATCCTTACCATCTCTAAATCCCATATAATCTGATCAGTATCCTATAACGTATACCATTACTTATCTGCATAGCGTTGTAATATACTAAATGGATATCTAACCCATAGTACAGAAGATTTAAACATCTGATTTGCTTGCAACATGGAACTAGTAGAGACGGTTCATTGCAACAAGGAGCATAGATTAAAGCAATATTCATATTAACCACAAAAGTAAGAGAGCCTAACATCACAAAAGGAGGGAGGGTGACGTTATTGACCAGCGAAAATGATGGTGGGGAGATGACTTCAGTCCATCCATGTCTGTAGGCGAGAAAATTTTGCCAAATTACGGCTCCTTATGATCAAGCGGGATGTCACGGATAAATGTTACTGACGCTAATTTATTACGAAAAATACCTCTTTAGGTTGTGTTTTTGACGTTGAATTGGTTTCACTTCCTACCGAGTAATCCTATTACAAGCAAAACTAGACAATTCGCTAAAAAAGAAGACTGCTCATATACCTACAAGATCAACAAAAATAAAAATTAGCTGAAATACCTTCGACGAAAAAATGAGATGGCCATTTGCGTATCAGAATACTGTTTTCTTTGTCATCACTGTGGCAGGCTGAGATCTGATTACAATGGGAATGGACATAGAGATGCCCTAGACACTCATGGTTTGATGACGCTTTTGTTCTCAGAGCCGTAATTGACGAATACCAACCTAGTCAAATTAGTAGACAGTAGTGAAACAGTCCTAAGTTATATTTGGAAAGCTAGCAAGCAGATGCAACGGATTTGTAGCACGGCTTACCTCACTGGTGCTCTTGTGAGGTCGTGTACCCAAGAGCATTCAGCTAAGTTGCGTCCAGTAAAACTAATGAGGTTAGCATCGATGTCCAAGACATACAGAACTGTTTATTTTAGGGATTCATTTACCTTTGCATAGCAATCACAGGTTTCCGCTTGTGAACGTGACGCTAGATGTGTCTTTGTTGTCAGTTCGCATACTGAAGAACACAAATTCTGGGTACTTTAGGCAATTTAGGACTTCATTGAATCTATAATTCCTTTAACTGAAAGCTTTCAATATTAATGAAGCCAAACATCACTTATATACAACTCTGTGTAAATGAGAACGTATTGAGCTCACAGCATGGAAACTTTTTGTGGCAATTAAGACGGCGAAAATACAGTCATTTTTACCTGCGACCCTATGTTATCCGTAAATTCCGACACTACCCGGAGTATAAGAATCATGGTGAAGACGTGTTCCATTTTGCAAATTAATAATAAATCTGGTCAATAGAAGTGATTCTTTTGGACCTCAACGTGGTGAGAGACTTCAAAATGATGAATTTTCACACGAAAACTAGATTCCAAATGTTATCCATCAAGAAATCATCTCCATTATATTACTATCATTCCAACATTTAGCCCATTTATTTCCTTTATGAAGGGCTTCAACAGGCTTTTTGATAGTAAGAAAAAATTTATTGAAAAACTTAAGGCAACTGATTTATCCCAGGGACATTAAGATACCATGACAACACCTAAAATTCACGGAAACAAGTAGGGAGTTACTTGTAACGCATTCATAAATGTCAGGTTCGTTAGGACTATTGAGATTGCATGAATAGATTACTTATATTATGAAATTGGATACCTGGAACCGCGCCGTAAAATCTAGGCACTCATCTGAATCTGAAATAGATATGAATATTTGGAACTTGGTTTTGTTTACTCACTCAAATTAGCTTGTGGCGGTAATTTGCGTGGCTAGTTCTTTGGTCCCGGGCGATGGCCGACTTTAACAATCCTTTGCAAAAGTTCAAGCTGGTGTTTTTGGGAGAACAGAGTGGTAAATTCTTATAAAATTGCCAAAATGCATTCCAATTTAAGTCGGGAAGACGTCCCTCATAACTAGGTTTATGTATGAAACATTTGACAATCTGTATCAGGTACAATAACAAATAGTACTATAATATTCTCACCTCTCAGGCAACAATTGGTATTGACTTTTTATCAAAAACTATGTACCTTGAGGATCGAACTGTAAGTTTATGAATGTAAACGAACCCAACAGATTCGTCTGCAATTATGGGACACTGCGGGACAGGAACGTTTTCGAAGTTTGATTCCCAGCTACATACGTGACTCCTCAGCCGCAGTTGTTGTTTATGACATATGCAGTATGTTTTACTTGCATTGCTTATTTTGTAGACGCTGGATCTTTCCATCAGGCTTCAAAGTGGGTTGATGACGTCAGAAACGAACGTGGCGGGGATGTTATTATCATCCTCGTTGGAAACAAAACGGATCTATCTGATAAACGGTGGGTAAAAATATCCTGGATCCTTATGTTGCAGAAAAGTGACTACTGAAGAGGGCGAGCATCTTGCTAAAAAACTAGAAGTCATGTTTATTGAAACGAGTGCGAAGGCTGGATATAACGTCAAAGTTGTGAGTAATGAAATAATAAAATTTTGGTTAAGTTTGCTTGATTGTCGTATGTATGGGTAATATTTTAGTCTTCGATTTAAACTTCTGTCCCCCTTTGTCTAAAGATGACTCAATATCTCAGCTGCTTTAATCTGTAAAGTAAATCTGATTTCCGACGATTTCAAGTTTCAAAGTGTCTGAGCGTCTATGGCATTTTATTTAGAGGATTTATTATCTTGTCCCAGTATTCGGGTTTTTAAAGACTTCCAAAGTGTGACAGTGAATTTTGTAGCGCAAAGTCTTCCTCGTTAATAGGTACATCTATCACCACTACGCAGTTCTCCAGAGATATTTACCCAGTTTGGTTTTCTAGGACTAGTTTTTGCAAATATGATTTCAAACGTCGTGATCTAATCCCGACTAACCATACAGCTGGCACTGTCTCATCCCAAACAAACACGCTTCTTAGCTGGTGTAGAAATAAAATTTCCCGACCACATTTTCTTCAACGCATAAGTATACGCTCTTGTTATCAAACATCGTGACGCGCTGTTTGCCGCGTTTTCTGTATTTTTTGTTTTGTTTTATTTCAACACATAGATATTTGTACAAAGAGGCACCAAATACATATGAACCACACAAATCTCATTCGATGTGTGAGGGCTGTGATACTGCCCGGGTGCCCAAACCGAAACAGGTGGTTTTCTTAGGGGGTCGCACCCGGAGCCTTCGACCTGAGGGTCTGATCCACAAGGCAGTGGAGCATCGTAAGGAGATGCAGTCCCATGGAAGCCGGTGACCAACAATTGGTTCATACGCCATTTGTTCCCTCAGGATACGAGCCCATGCGCACCATTGATTTGGAATCCGGTTAAAGCGCCGGACATTCGCTTTTCGTCCTCTCATTTTCGTAAACAACACCCCCGCGTTCTCTGTAAGCAGTTGTGAAAGCACCGCCTGTACGATTTCGTAAAATTCGTATTTGCTGTTTTCATATATTGAGACTGAAAAAGCTGGTTGTAGAATTGGGTTGTGCTCTATACGAAAAAGTTAGTCGGTTCGTTAAGCGATAAACCTCCCTTACAGGTACACTCGCTCTCTTTCCTTGAACGCTAGACATCTTCCCCCCATATATTCTAATGCCCACTGACATTTCGTTTGATTACTGCACTATATTAGGTTCCCAGTTATTTCGGTGGTTTGTATGTTTGGTGAACGTTTTAAAATATATCGGACAGTTCTGCTTTGGTCCACTTAACGATACACATGGATATGATATAATTAACACTGGTCGTTCCCAGTTATCACAAAAATATTAATTTCAACCCAGAGTAAAATTATGTTGACTGTAATTTTACTCAACGTTGTTTTCTAAAACGTGATAAAATTTAATGGTGCTACACATTTTTTTGACTTGTGGATTATTGTGAAGCAGAATTTGGTTAGGTTTATTTTGATATAACTCAAATGCTACTTTGCGGTGTACGTAATTAGCAGATAGGCAAATTCATGATAAGGCTTCAAATTTTGGATATAGATTACCATAAAACTGTATTTGCTGAACCGTTTTTGCGAGTGAGCTGTTAATGTACAGTTGCTTCCTATCCTAATGTTTAATTAACTCAAATTAATTTATAATAATAAACCTATTGTACAAGTAAGTTATGTTGTGCATAAATAATAGCTACATGTAAAGCGTTCAAGAAAACGTGAACTGTTTAGCATTCTAAAAATATCAGAAATTTGTATGTGGTCTATATGATTTATGTCTCGAATTACTCTTATCTACTTCACTTTCGTTGTTTTCAGTTGCATCCATCACCAGTTCTCTTCTCTCACTTTAGTAAAATGTTACTGATTGATTATTATTACTATTTGAACACAAATATTAATACAAAGGGGCACCAAATACATATGCACCACATTTGATCTGTATTTAGGTTGTGGTACTACCCGGGTGCCTAAACCAAAGCAGGTGGTTTTCTTAGGGAGTCACATCCCGAGCCTTTAATCTAGAGGTCTAATCCACAAGGCAGTGGAGCAACGTCAGGAGATGCAGTCCCATAGTAACCGGTGACCAATAATTGGTCCATACGCCATTTATTTCCTTAGGGTCCTGGAGCCCATGTACACCATTGGTTTGGAATCAGAGTTTTCCAACTCCCCTAGGTGGATTCTCCATATCCACCAACCCAGACATTCATTTTTCGTCCTCTCAATTTCGTAAACGACACTCCCCTCGTAAGTAGGCAGTGAGTGGAACTTTCTTTGCAGTGACTGTATACGCGTGGCCATATGAGAGCATTTCAAGAGGAAGCTGACTCTCCCCACCCCGGTCGTACCAGGCATTTAAGGGCACATTTTAATCAATTAGTCGAAGTTTATTTTCATTTCTAAACCGTGTTCCAGCTTTTCATTAGTGGCTTTACGGTAATAATGTCAAATATCTGTGATAAGCCAGTAATTATATTTTCATTTATATTTTTTTTAGTTGTTCCGTCGAATCGCAACAGAATTGGTTGATCAAAAGAGTCCACTTTCTAGACATGATGACTGTATCCTTTCCGATCTTATCTACACATCGATTGTTTTATCTTTTATTGTTCATTTAGTCAGCACTACAAAGAAATTTCGTACTTATTTTAGACACCTAAAGCATGTATACTGGTTAGTTATATGGTGACTTATTGATTAAAACACTTGGCTGGTAGGACTCAAGTTAAAAAACTGTCCCACCTACTTCATTAGTTTGCTAAATGTCTGGGGTTATTGAACTATTTTATGTCTATAAAACTTTCCTAAACTGATTAAACGGTCTTGGTTATTGTAAGTATTCAGTACTGCTCTCTGGTCAAGGTCAAAACAATTCGTTACCATTATTCAGTCCATGACAGTATCTTATGATTGAACGAGTTGTAAAATGTCTAACAGGTATAATAATTATATATCTTATTTGGAACGATAACTTAGATCATCCCAGACGTTTCATAACCCTGATCAACACTACGTGGTAATATTAGCTCTAGTGACAATTTTTCATAAGCTCTGACTCGACCAGTTTTATTCAAAATGATTAGAATATAAAAATGTTAAATTTACCAATACTGCTTTTCTCCTTGATTTGGATAATTTCCATTTCGGAAATCGGTGTTTGCGAATTGTATTTTTTGTGTCGTGTTTTTGTTTAATAAATCTAGTCATCGAGGTTAAGTTACACGATGCTTCTAAGGATACTGATTTTAACCAACGAGTTTGCTGGTGCTAAGTCACTTAATTGTAAGCATTTGTTTCTTTATAAACTTGTTTACACACCTTTTAGCACATTTGCGCTACTAATTAAATGCACATGTAGTTTTGGATACATTTCTCGGTGGTTTCACTTTTGATTTTTCCTTTTAATGGATTTTCTGTTTTGAAAATGATAATTCTGTGTAGTAGGTTGCTGTATAGTCGATTTTTTGTGCTGATGATATTTGAACTTTATTCGGTGTGTCCGTAGTAGAAAAGAGATGTAATAAATTTGTGTTTATCATTTTTTATGGTAAAGTTGGTGATAAAACACTAGCCCAAATATAGGTAAGTGATTCTCACGCTTCAAATTTTAACTTGTTGGATTTATTTTGAGCCTAAACAACACTTAGTCTAATTTACAATGGTCGCTGATTTTAAATTGCAGCAAATGTTTTATACATGATATGTTTACCTTGTTTTTGTAGTAGCATAATTTTTGACAGCAACTTCTTTCCATATTAACATTTAAGAATCAACCGCCCAAAATTATTTGATCATTGGATTGTATTTTTCATTTCTAACATCTATGGATATATGCGTTTATTTAGGCCTATTCATCCTTAACTTTAATAACCCCATAATATACACCAATGATATACTGCATTACCCATTCTTCTTTCGTTTCATTCAAAAATTTGTAACTGGTTTTATTTATCAAAACTTCCCTACAGATATTGAATTAAAACCGATCGAGCCTCCTCAAGAGAACCAGTGGAAAACCTGTGGTTGTTGAATATCAAGTCTATTTGTTCAGAAATTCTTTTGAAACTTGCAAAGACTTTCACATACCACATATATATATAATAGCTATTATTGAGTGATCTTTAGCTGTTTTTGACATTTCATTTCTCTTCTTGATTTACTTCGGCAAACGTGGTCTTAATGTATTTCCGTACCTATAAAAATGATATATTTATATCTATGTACAGCTTATCTATTTTCATTTGGTGAATTACTATTTAACTACAGTTCGACTTGAAATTTCTCTTGACGAATTTGAGTTTGCTTTGCTAGAAATCTTTATTTCTGTTTGCTTTTTTCAGGCCATAATTTATACAACAATCTGTGATGCTTTCTTTTAGTAATTATAAGCACTTCAGCTTTGTATTAAACATTTTGGTGGTTTATTTCGTATTTTCCTGTTTATATTTGCTGTGAAGAACATGGTTAGTTATCAACTTCATATCCTTTTGTTGTGCTCACGTAACGTGTGTTTATATACCCGGTCTTTTATTTGTTACATATGAGTTAATAAATCTTGAAAGCTTTTGTAAAGTTCTACGTATAAACAATTTAATGTTATCAATAATGTCCGCTTTGCTATAAATATAAAACACAGAGAATTACTTCGTCATTGATTCTGTCTTTTACGGACTACCAGAAATTCGCTTAAATTCTAACTTCACTACCTACTATTAATTTCCCTCTTGCTCTGTAAGTGGACGGAACAAAATTAGTCACAGACCTTGAAGTTCCTGAGCACTTACGGGTTTATAGTGGCTTGACTTTGAGATAATTCGGATTCAAACCAATAAACAAGATTCGAGCATGCACATATATCTATGAGCTAACTAGCATTTAACCTGGAGAGGGGGTCATATCCCTTGACTGTCAATGATATCAAATGTATGTATTTATACAGACATGATAGTAATAATAACACATGAGGTGAACAAATTGTTACTAATCGAATAACACTTAAATAATTCAACTAACAAAATTAACATTTCGCGCTAGAAACATCGGGGTCGGGACGCTCCGACACTGCACCATGATTTCTGGAATTTACCGTTTGGTGGTGTCAATGTATCTTATGCTCGACAATCGATTGTCACCCGATCGGATGACCTGGTGAAGACGCCGAGGTGCTGTAACCTTGGTATTTGTCTCACCGTATTATTCAGCGCGTACATGTTTAATTCGGCGTTGACGGTTGTATTGTCTTGACACCTATGTTGACTGTTGAGGCACACTACTACGAAAAAAATAACAGAATCATGCGGACATCAGTGGCTTTTTCCAAAATCATGCATAAAATGACAAAGACCGAAGGAGGCTGGGGTATCTATTAACCAAAAGTGTATTGATAAGTAATAAATGCGACAGCGGTTAATTATTTAGACCTAGTATACAGACTAGTTCAGAAGTTATGATATTAAACCTTACTGGTGTTATATCTGTTGTCAGTCGGTTCAGGGTGAACAGTATGCTATTAGCCAGTTGTCCACAATATGGTTCGTGAGGGTAATTGGAACTGGTCTCTCAACTTACCGGGTTCGAGGATTACGTGACAGGCAGGATGAATTATTAGACAGTATTGCTGTTGTTTCAAGGCAAGTCAGCGAGCTTACAAACTTGCTCAACATCACTGCACTTTGACCGACCAAGTAAAAAAGTCATGTATAAATTCAGAATTATTACAGCTCACGTGTGGATATCTTAGGATTGCGTGTGTGGAACGCTTTACAGGAGGGACGTAAACCCATAGAATTGAAGTAGCAAAGGAAAATTGTTAGTAAACTGAAGGTAATAGTAATGTATTTATGAATACAGTCGTTAGGTCAAACTCGTATGGCATTGGAAGATCATTAACGCTGTAACTAGTGGACAAAAGCTATAAAAAATACTGAATAAATAAACCAGGACATCCAAAAATTCCGGATGAAAGTCTTTACGGTAACCAGGAGTATGCATTTAGAAAACAACATTAGATTCTGGCATAGAATGTAGGAAGGAGGGCCTGTCTCCGAGTCCTTGCTCACTGAATGATATGATACTGAGTTTCACATAGATAACTACACTGAATAGTGTACGATGACGTGGCATTAGGGCTGGTGTAACTCTACTCGTAACACTTCGTACAGGAGCATATACATTTGCAAATGAAGAAAACGGATCAGGCTTAGATGTTTTCTGATGAAACCGTGAATACTTATGACGGGAAAACTGCCTCGATTTTGAATGACTGATTACTTTGGACAATGAGTTAATGATTTACACTACACAAATAATAAGACCAAAAATTGATTGCAGATTTGTTTTGCCCTCAAAACCGCCTTAATGTTTTTATTATCAAAATACACTCATTCATTGATTTTACTGCCATTTGATTACTATTTAACACATCTTTGTTACGTACTTGATCTGTTTACTCAATAATATACAGGAGAGAACTTGTCTCTCTAGGTTGGGGTTCTGACACGGCAAGCTAACTGGTCTAACCATGAGGTTAGAAACGCATGAGTCCGAATCGCAACTAATGGCCTTGGGAAGAAAGACGAAGATTGGAACATTACTCGATTTGTTCTTGATTAAGATTAGTGGAAAAAGATACATGGGTAAAGATGACTGGCCCGACCACAACGTACAAACAATTGGAAAAATACAATTATGTCCAAACTGGGCATTAGAACAGAAAAAATAGAGTACAGAAGGTTACGTTTAAACAACAAGGCTTTCGGCAAAGAAAAGGGTGTGGCAGTCAATCACACATCAAGCGAAAGATTATGGTCGATAGAATAACCTAGGGATAAAACCAAATGTTAGTATTCTAAGAACTTTGAATCAAGTAAAATAACGTCCCAAAAATAACTTCCGTTGTTTGTTATGGATTCTTTGTTTCTGTTCACATCAACCACATGCAGAGGGGATACAGAGTTACTACGAAAACGCATGCTGTATTTCATAGTGAACCAAGTTTATACCGAATTAATACAAATCATAGTAAAATGTAATCAGTGTTACAATGAACAAACTCACACTAAAAATAAGAAAATATTAAACGGAGGAATTGAATATCGAACAAACATCACAGAATCGGTAACTTAGTCTCGCCTTTTTATCCAATTAGAACACTTACATGGGGACAACATAAATTCATTGCCAATACAGCGACGCTCCATCAGTAACTCTGTGTTAGTAGTTTTGCAAATATGTCCCAAAAGAATTAGATAAAGTCTTGCTTTGGTATCTGTTGCAAAGTGATTTGGACTACAGTTTTGTCCCAGTGAGCGTTCAGGGTATCTAATTACATGTTTTTAGGTTGAAACGTTGAATTACAAATAAGATTAGCCTTGTCGTAAGTTTACTTACTAATGATTATCTGAGAAGTCATTTTAGTATTTTTTGGAGGGGGAGTAGGTAGAGTTCCAAGTGGCTAAAAAGTGTGTAATTCCCTCGGGTATTTGTTTACACTTCGACCCTGTCCCGCTAGAAGTGATTAGTGTAAACCAGCTACGTTCTATCTCATTACATATTCTTTTGTTTTACGTTTCCGTTTTCCTATCGTTACTACTACTATTCCGACTCTCGATTTTCATCTATTTGAATTTCTGTTGCTGTTCTGGTTTGAAGCGTAGCTCCACTTCGATGTGCACTTATCCCAGGATCTAAGATGTATATGACTATCTGAATTATACGTTTTCACTGTTTATAGAAAGGAAAACTAGGAATGGAATGCTTCTATGTTAGGTTCCACGTCAACGTTTTATATCATACAGAGAAAGAGATGACAGACGTGCCAATTCTTGAGGACTGAATTTATTGGTGCCACTGGAAAATGAAAAGCAGCTGAATTGTGAGATATATATTGCACTTGAATCATGAGGGTTTAGTACAGCTAGGTGTAACCACTCAAAATAAATGTCCCACGAAAATTACGCATGTTTGTTTTATTTAGACATGCACTTAAAGCTTTTATGCCAGAAATTTAGATGAAAACATTCACAAGTAATTTCTACAACGATCAAGTGCCACCATATTCATACACTTGTGTATCCCATTAACTGAAATGTTAGGTCGATACCATGCGACTAGAACCGTCTTTCATGGAATCCTGTACTTACTAAGACGACGAAAATCCAGTATGATCCTGAAATATGTGGTGCAGCACTGACTAACGAGAAAACAGTTTCCGAGGACCCCTGCACCGACCACTAGTGACTAATTCTTCAGTGGGAATCCAAATTTACTTTCCAGTGCTGCTACAAACGATCTCGGTTCTGGTCAATCATAATTTTCAAGACATGGATTAAATACTATCTCCAACCGAATATCAAGTCATTTTCGTGTAAAAATACGTACGACCTTAGCAACAAGATTATACACGAGATATCCATCCATAATGTTGGCAGATTTGTGGATTTTACACCTATTTGATTATATCCACATCATTTTTTCTTTGATCACAACACCCGTCAACGGAAACTGACGAGTTATAAGCAAATTAGAACAAATAGGAAAATAACTCATGCGTGTATATAAATATTAACAGAGTACAACAATCAACTGCTTAGTTCCCATTCAGTTGAAGAGAAGATGGGGGTGTTGGTGGCGGCGGCGGTGGGATTGGTGCTGAAGAAGCATTTGTCCCTACACCACTAGAATTTACTCCAAAAGCGGGCGGTGGTGGAGGGGGCGGCGGAGCACCTAGTGAGAATGAAGGTGGTGGTGGAGGAGGTAGTAAGGGCTTTGTATCTTTTGCTCCGACCATAATTGGTGGCGGAGGCGGGGGCGGCGGCATGTTAGTCAAGCTGGTGTTTATAGGCATATTAAGAAGGAAACTTGGAATAGGAAGACCAATAGCATGTGGTGGAGGGGGAGGTGGTGGGGGTGGCGGTGGAGGTAATTGAAGCTGAAGTTGGGCATGTTGAGCTTTAGCTTTTTGCATTTCTAAATCACGAAGCATAGCGGTAGAAGATGATTGACTTTCTAGTTTGAAAGCGAACTACATTAGGAAAATAAAGTTGCACAAGAAGTAAAATGTTTGAAAAGGTGAAAACACTACCAATATTGAAAATCACACTAGAAATAAATATCTGTGATAAATCGCAATGCAGTTTGGGTGTTTATTGGATGAGTTAATTTATTTGTGCAAAAAAGTTCAGCATTGCGTATGTAGCATAAAAATCTAGCTTTCACCGATTATAACAGTGAAGACTACCGTTGAAAATTGGTAACACATCAAAATTAGCAGCTGGTCATGTTGAATGCAAAATATCACAGAATATAACAATAATTTAGCTGTTCAAAATCGTGGCAAAACATCTCAACATTTAGAATTAGTTTTGAACCCTACAGTTCAGTTCGCTGAAAACTATTAGAGCACGGTATTTTGTAAATGAAAAATTGCCACAAACGTAAAGATATAAGGTATCGCGTGGTTTAGAAAAACATTTACATAAGGATGTAGGGTGAGATTTCGGATAATGAATAAGGCGAATGTAGGTATCAACCAAGTATACACATTTCAGTGATAAAATGTTACGAAAATTCGAAAACCCCATCTGTTTTAACGTTTTATCCTATTAAGAAAATTAAGACCAGCTCACAAACGTGGGTCTAACGGATTATTTACGTGATTCTTATTTATTACGCTGATATCAATCTCGAAAAGTGAGTCCGTAGTTAAAAATAGATATAATCTTTTACTGTAGTGCAACTATGAAATCAATCATTTTTAATACTATATCAGCCGAGCTAAAAACAAATCAGTATTTTAATAGTGAAGATTTCCCCCCACATATTCATTTTTAACTTTGACATTAAAACTATGCATTCCCATAAGATCTTAGAGATATTAACATGAATTCAGGTCATTATTTGTTTATTTACATCGTTGCTGAAATTCGGGACTGAAATTAATCAGCATCTGTTGTAATACTCATACCTTAATTAAGCAGACGACTCGAAATTAGTCGAATCCGTTGAAATTTAGGTACATCCATCCAATGAATATAAAGACGAAACGTGTGTTCTGGATTCCACTGCCAGTCACTACCCAAAACATAACTAACATGAAACAAAATTGTTGATAGAGGTAAAATAATCTGTACGGTGCTTATAAGAACACGGTTAAGTTGAGAGTATTGTGCATCACATGAACTGTAATTTTATGATGGGGATTAAATTGGGCCCTGCACCCATCATTATATGAAAATCTATTATGGAAACTAATAAAATGACTTGATTTTTGATTAACTGTTTATGAGAAGTATAATCTAAAGTGGCTTTGTAGTATTCGAAGGAATCAATTTTCAGTCAATGAGCTACTGGTCTGAACCTCCTTTTAACTAATTATCAAGGATTAAACATCAGAATTGTATCATAAATCTCCCCTTTACAAAGCTAGAATTGCCGTAAAATGGTCTTGCTCATCGTTGTAACTACTCAAACAAGACTAAAATAAAGTATTTTGGGAGTGAATACCAACAGTCAACGAAACTTTTATTACGCTACCCGCTTTGTCTAACAACTTCAAACTGACCTGTAGGAAGAATTGTTTAGAGCTGGAATTCCAATAAGTCCATAGCTTCTTGGGGTCTTTATCTACTTCACGACTAGGAATTTTAAAAGCAATTGTTTCATATGGTTCAGCAGCGAACAATAAGTATTGCCATCGTTTATCTGGTGGTTCAACATGTTGTTCATAAGCAGACATAAACCGATGTCGAGGTATTACACCAGAAGCATCAGCTATTTCTGGATAATCGATTTGGAAAAGCATAGACTGTTGATTAGCATCCGGATCCTTTTGTTTGGTTACCTGAGTAGAAAAAACAAGGTAACTACGAGTTTAAATAAGATTATTTAAAAACAAAACATATTTCGAATTCCAAAATAAGAATGACTGGAGCATATTTCGGTTATCTGGGATGCTAATCGGTTAGGAGAAACAACAATTACTACGAAGATTCTTTAAGTTTTCAACCACTATTTATTCAACTACAAACAACACCATTTAGAACCTATGATACAATATATTTCTGTCAAGTTACGTAAGAGATGCGCAAAGAAAAGATCACGAAAATATTAGTCGGCCATAAAATTATAAATATTGGTTTGACAACCAGATGGATATATATATATATATATATATATATATATATATATATATCACGTTTTTATATACACAGAAACTTACTTTATATCCAGGACGACCAATTTTAATGAACTTCTTCGGCTCTACTTTAACGCGCTCTGGTTGCATTGTAGATGGAGCCTCACGAGCCTGCTCAACAGCTCGTCTTTGCAAATTATACTGATGCTTTTTCCCTAAAGAAAACATCATATAATTAAAGAAACAAGTTAGATAGTAACAATCAGTCCATTACAACGTAGAACTTTGTACGTATGTACACCAGTCCAAGCTGTCATACTCCATTCGCACAGAGAAATGAAATTGTCAAGCCGAGTTCCAGAATAGTAGAGGTAGTAAGTTTCAGTGGTGATAGGAAAGACTACGCATCAAAGATACGATTCAGGAAAATATAAATTAGTGAAATAAAAACAAAAAAGTTATGGGAAATTTAGAACCTCATGATTTGAGGGAGTATAAAGAATAGATAAAACTGCGCTATCGCCAACGATTTTCAGCCATGCTATTCAGTCTTTAACCATTGATTATGATCACGCGGACCCGAACCAGGTAGTCTGTAACTGTTAACATGGCTAAGATCAATTATTAATGACTTCATGAACTGATGCTATGTTTTAGGTTGGCCACCCCCAGCTTTCTTTCATCCTACTCAACTCCGCACCAAAAAAACAGTACCCATCGAGGTAGGAAGTGGTTGGACATACATAACACATGTTTTGACCACCTCATCTGATGAATATTTACTACCTCATCAGTTGATTTACTATCGTTACCTGGCATTCTATTCCTAACCCAGGTATTGCTTATTCCGCGGTCCTAAAATACATGAGCAATGTTTCGTAGATACCTACGATCGAATGCCAGTAACCTAAGAATATTCTCTATTCTTAATGGTCATGTTTCGCACCCACAAAGTTGAACGGAGAGAACTGCTGCCCAGTAAACTTGTCCACTGGTTGGAAGATGGAGATCTCACCTACACCACAAGAGCCGCCTGATGAGACTTCCAAGATAAGTGAAGTGATCGATTTTTTAACTACTCCATTCCCTACCCTTGATTTAGGCACTGACGTCAGCCAATCCTGAAGTAAAATTTTACATTCAGAGGGATAGAACCTGATTCCAAACATGCCTGCATTGTTGCTTAAGATGGTCAGAAAACTGCATTTTGTCAGTCTTCACTAAACAGAACTATATCATCTACGTATTTTAATTCAACAAGTGAATCTCCTGATAGATAAGCCCCCGAGAAGTTAGATGGTGAAAGTGTTATCTCTAAAAGTATGTCAATGACAAAGTTAAAAGAAAATGGAGAAAATAGACAACATTGACGAACACTATCTGAAGTAACGAATTCCGATGACAGTTCGCCAAAAGTGTTTGGATAGAAAGCCTGTACAAGGTTGATGTACTTCTTTGGGACACCTTTTAGCGATAGAAACCGACACAGAACCTCACGATCAACAGAGTCAAATGCTGCCTCAAGTCCAAGGAATACCATTATAGTAGGATTTTGATGTGCCAGAATCGACCGAAGGGTGAAATTTTGGTCTATACATTCACATCCAGGTCTGAAACCAGCCTGGATTTTTCAGGTTTGCTCTTCAAAAGCCCTAGTTAGACATCAAATTATTAATAAGGCATTTTAGTCCCTGTATTAGTTAAGCTGATCCCTTTGTGACTGTCACAAAAGGATTTTATTCCTTTCATGTGAACTCAGACGATCAGTAATCGAGAATAGTCTGATGAGTTACGCCCACTTTCCAGATTTTAGCTAATATTTCAGTTAATCTAACTGCTAAAACTGAACCATTACCCTCAAACATTTCAAGGGATAGCCAATCAGGCCCTGCTTTTGTCCCTTGTTTTAGATTACTTGTAAGTCAGTCAAATACAACGTAGGATCAGGCACATATGTGCATCGGTACAAGTTGCCATACCTCATTAGCACAACAAGATGAACACAGGATTCATAGAAGTAGTTAATTTAGTGGCGGTAATATATAAGAGAAAGATTGAATATAAGGACATAGTACAGGAAGAAAGATATGAAGCGATTTTAATCTCATAATTTAAGGGAAGACAGAAAGTGTATACGCCTACGTCATAGTGATCGATTCTGGGCCATGTCATCCAGAGTCTCTAATCATTGGTTACGATCGTCACACGGACCCCAACCGAGTAGTTTGCATCTACTAACATGGCTCAGACCATTAGATTACCTATAGCCTTTTCAACCTTACTAAAAGTTGAAAGACTTACATAAATTTGCTACTCAGGTTGCTTGGAGATAGTGGGTAACTAAAGTGGATGAAGGTTTTCTATAGTTTTCTGCCTATAAGTCCAATTTCCTGGATTGAGAGTGAATAATGGCCGTCTTTTTCTGAGATATTTTCACTAACGGCCGTGCTTTAAATACCCGCTTCCCTGATAAGTCTGAACGGTTGTCTACTGTTACCTATCGCTGCTGCACTTTCCGTCTCTCCTGCCTTAAATACTCACCACTGATCACAATCACTATATAGGCCTTTATTCAGCCTACTATTGAGCTGTCTTCGCTCCTCTTCATGCTAAGAGTCAGATGGGATGAGTTTCCGAGCATCTATTAACTATGTAGACACCACTAAAATTCACTGGTTTTTCCTAATCTTTGGTTTGTTACTAGAAGATATCGCTGCTGTTTCCATTGCTTTTTGGATCCCACCCCAAGGAAACTCGGGTTGTGTATTACTTTCATGGTTGACTAGCTGCTTATCTAGTAGTTCCTGAAATATATTCCTAACTGTTTTCATCATTAAGTTGGACTCTAATGGGTATTTTTCCAGTAAGACGTAAACAAACGAGTGCTCGAACAAGGGCATGATCCGATTTTAAATATGTGCTTCCGAATGAGCAACAATCTATTATTGAGCACCACCAACGACGGCTGATGGAGATAGCAGCAAATTTCAATTTAATGCAAAGGCAAAGCAGGATTCGAGAATTAATTAGAAATAATAAAAGCACTCAGATACTGGTTGGACTACACAGAGTACAAAACTGTTAGATCAAGGTAGGTTTGATCTTACACTTGTAGTTAAAGGGCGATAATGAAGCAGTTTTAGCAATATATACAAAAATATTCGACCGTGAATTACGCTGTAAAAACAATAAGCTGCTCTATACCGATCTAAAGAACGTGGTAACTATGATACGACGAATATTCCCTACATAGAATTAGTGAATGTTACACATAACCAAACGTTAGATACCTAGATGCATTACCAATAAAAGGCAGATAGAAACGGTGGTTACATAAACAAACTGGTCAGTAGTATTAAATATTTTTACAGTACTTCGGAAAATGTATACATCTAGAGAACAGCAAAATATTAATCTCCAGATATGTTCTTTATAGTGAGGAAGTGAGAAAGCATGAACTGTGACTAGTCTGTGATAAATTATTTTCACACAAAATATGCCATTTAACTCAAATACGTGCAGTTAACCTAGCCGTTCGTCAGAACATCTTAGATATAGTCTTAATGTTAGCGAAATATCGTCTACAGATCTGTGTACTAAGTTCGCAATTGACAAAATTTACACAATCTTGTTGTTAATCGTACAAAAGAGAGGACTAGAGCATCCTACCTAGAAATTTTATTGAGTTTCGTGAAGCAAATCGAGGATTCGTTCGGCGTCTTGCAACAAGCCAATTTAAAACACTCACAAGAACGAGGTTTGAAAGCACAACACGGAGAACATACGATCACACAAGTAGGGTCAATAAAAAAACCGATATTCTGTGTAGTAAGTGAACAAAACTCATATGAACCTGATATAAAATCAGGATGGAATAAAGTACAGAATAAAAATACCTTGAGTGTGTGCAAGGTAGCTCCCTTCATTATTGTGCAGAGTAAGGCACAATTTACATTCGTATGTCCCCAAGTGATTTTTCATAAAATACGGGTCTTTGTTAAGATCAATCGTGTCAAGTGCCAGTTGTCGCAAACGTTCCCTACGGTCGCGATTAGCTTCAGCTTCCGATGCTACACCACCAGAACCGGTCTTCCCTCCTACACGGTGTTGGAAATCCATTTTTAACTAGATGGGTCTACACAAGCTGTAACGTTCCTTCTTTGGTGGGTTTGATTCTAACCTGAAGGTACCTTAAGGTACACACAATTGTGTGTTGAAGGAGCGTGAAGATTATCTGGAAGAGAAAATAAGTGAGTCAAAGACTCAAAAATCACATAAACGCACCTAAGTTTGTTGATGAAAGTGGTAGACAACATTCAGAAATGAAAAACGTAAGATTATGATAGTCTGACAATTGAAGCCAAAGGGAAGTTGTGAATATTTGGATAGCCCGGTTTATGGTCGTTCAATGTTCAGTATCTAGTATCTGTGTCACATGCGTTCATAAATTGGGTGATTTCTCCGCACTTGCTATTCATTACTCTTGTGCTGATTCGGGTGTTTGACAACGAGCGGCAGACTAGTCACTCGAATGCACTAATGCTCGTCATTTCGGTAGTTGCTTGTTGGTTTGCATATCTCGTAATCTGAGTGTGTTTATCTCTGAGTAATAGGGTTTTTTGGATACCAGCAGCTGTCAAATTACCAAACAGAAGGCTGTTTTGATTGCAATGTCGGACGTAGTAATGAAGAATTTGGATGATAGAAGAAGAGAATGATCTCAAGATGTGATTAAATAAGTTATTTATTAGTAATCCAGACATTGTGATATCAAAATGTAAGGAAAAGAAGAAGAAAAGATCATCATAGATAGTAGTTCACCATATTTGGTTGGGATAAAAGTACGCAAGTATGATATTTAAAAGCAGCCGAATTATATGTTGCTATGTATTCACGATCTCGCACCCCGCGGGATTCGAACCCAGGACCTACTGGCTTTGCGCGCGAGCACTTAACTATTAGACCACTGAGCCGGCATCCAGTGGTGTTAATGTCTAACTTCAACCAATCCACGAAGTTGCGCCACCGTATACCATTGTCTTCAGTGAGCTGATATCTCACAACAGATCTGGTTGAACTCCACTGGTAACGGCTTCACATTAGAACTCCAGGTGTATCTCTTAAAGTCAGCCACTAGTGGGCAGATGATTACTATCAGAAGGGGTTTGTGGAGATTTTAGAAATTTTCACAGATTTAAATCATGAGTCAGTTGAAGCTAGACCACCAATGAAAACCTGGAAGCACTGGACGGCCGTTTCGTCCTAGTATGGGGCTCTTCAACGGTGCGCATCCACGATCCCGCACCCCGCGGAATTGGTTGGAGTTAGACATTAACACCATTGGATGCCGGCTCAGTGGTCTAACTGTTTAGTGCTCGCGCGCAAAGCCAGTGGGTCCTGGGTTTTCCATGGTGATCTAGCTTCAACTGACTCATGATTTCAATCTGTGAAAATTTCTAAACTCTCCACAAACCCCTTCTGATGATGCCATGTATTCTCACTTCATCTTCGTATGTAAGCAATCGTTCAGTAAGAACAATAGTCCTTAAATTTAGCTGAAAGCATTTTTTTAATCTCTCCTCAGTTGTCAAAACGTTCCAATACGTTGTATGGATTTATTCGATGGTTTATGATGATAATTAGGAGTATTTGAGCTAATGTGCAAACGAAGAATTCTCGAAATAGTGAGATTTAAGGTAGATAGAACTAAATAAGAACGAAGGTACTTATCGTACTTGGAATTCTCAATAAAGTTTTAAAAAATTATCATTTAGTAAAGGCATCGCAAATGCCACAGCCTAAATGGTAATCCGAATTTCTGCAATCAATTCTTCTTCTCCTCCTGAGATTCATCATATGTCTGTCTAACTGTGTATCAGATGTACACCCTGTATGACTTAGAATGTATTTGTTGTTATTAAAATTAGGAAAATGAAAATGGAACAGACTCACTTGATCCCTGTAATTGTACCTGATCAACATGTCGGTTGTGTGTAATTAAATCATTGATATCTATGATTCGATGCATATATTTTCCAACGTTCTTCACCACAATTCCCATGGCTGGTCGAAGATCATTTCCATGACAGTATGAAACTTCTACAAACTTTAAACACCTCATATTCAAACTGAAAATACATCTCTTTAATAAATTTGCTAGAATGGCTTACGTTGAAAAGTGTTTGGCCTTTCCATATTGCAATGGGAATGTGTATACTCTCTTCCTCAGTCTATCAAGTTTTATAGCATTCGTGGAATTAATATCAATTTTCAACGTCCTGATAAACTTTTCTGCCTAAACATCATTACAGGGTTTTCTGAGAGCAGTTGACAGATATTTCCACTCTTCACAGTAAAATTAGTCACCATCAGTCACAAATACCATACGAATTCCTTCTCAGTGTTTGCAGTGTGGAGTGTGAATTTGAGTAAGTTATGAGAAGTAGATCAGGCCACTCAGAAGAATTATCGATGACACAAAGTGTGTAGGATCTGTCGAGAGAAGGACCACAACTACTTACTTACTTGCTTGCGCCTGTTACTCCTCGTGAAGGAGCATAGGCCGCTCACCAGCATTCTCCATTCAACCCTGTGCTGGGCAATCCTTTCCAGCTCCTTCCAGTTCCTATTCATCCCTTTCATATCGGCTTCTATTATCCGACGTAATGTGTTCTTAGGCCTTCCTCTTTTCCGCTTCCCTTCAGGTTTCCAAGTTAGTGCTTGTCTCGTGATGCAGTTTGGCGATTTGTGTAATGCATGTCCTATCCATTTCCATCGTCTTTTCCTAATTTCCTCCTCAGCTGGAAGCCGATTTGTTCTCTCCCACAAAAGTCTGTTACTGATGGTATCCGGCCAATGGATGTTGAGTATCATGCGAAGACAGCTATTTATAAATACTTGTACCTTCTTGATGGTGGTTGTTGTAGTTCTCCAAGTTTCAGCTCCATACAGTAGAACTGCCTTGACGTTGGTATTGAAGATTCTCACTTTGATATTGGTTGACAGTTATTTTGAGTTCCATATGTTCTCCAATTGTAGAAATGCGGCCTTTGCTTTGCCAATCCTTGCCTTTACGTCTGCATCTGAGCCTCCTTGTTCATCGATGATGCTTCTCAGGTATGTGAATGATTCTGCATCTTCCAGAGTTTCGCCATCAAGAGTGATTGGATTGCTGTTCTCCGCTTTGAATTTGAGGACCATGGTTTTCCCTTTGTGTATGCTGAGGCCTACTGATGCAGAGATTGCTGCTACACTTGCTGTCTTCATCTGCATCGTGTGTACGTGATAGGAGGGCTAGATCATCTGCGAAGTCCAAATAGTCTAATTGATTTCGAGCTGTCCACTGTATTCCGTGTTTTCCTTCAGATGTCGAGGTCTTTATAATCCAGTCAACCACCAGAAGAAAGAGGAAGGGAGAGAGTAAACAGTCTTGTCTGACTCCGGTCCTTGTTTCGAATGCATCTGTCAGCTGTCCTCCATGCACGACTTTGCACTGTAGTCCGTCATATGAGTTCCGGATAATGTTGACAATTTTCTCAGGAACTCCGTAGTGTCGAAGAAGTTTCCATAACGTTCTCATATCCACACTGTCAAATGCCTTTTCATAATCAATGAAGTTGATGTACAGTGACGAGTTCCTCTCAATTGATTGTTCGACGATGACCCGTAGTGCTGCAATTTAGTCTATGCACGATCGATCCTTACGGAATCCAGCTTGTTGATCTCGAAGTTCGGCGTGTACTGCATCTTTCATCCGGTTCAGCAACACACTGTTAAAGATTTTCCCTGGGATGGACAGTGGTGTAATGCTTCTGTAGTTTCCACATTTGCACAGATCTCGTTTCTTTGGAATCCTGATGAGGTGTCCTTCTGTCCAGTCCATCGGCACTTGTTCCTCCTCACAAATCTTTTAGAATAGAAGGTGAAGCATGTTTGTAGTTACTTCGATGTCTGACTTCAGTGCTTCAGCTGGTATGTCGTCCTGTCCTGCTGCTTACACCTTCTTGATTTGTCTGACGGCCATTCTGACTTCTTCCTTCGTTGGTGGGTTGACATCTATGGGAAGATCTGTGTGTGCCGCTTCGATGTCCGGTGGATTCATTTGAGCCGGCCTATTCAGGAGTTCCTCAAAGTATTCTACCCATCTATTCCGCTATTGTTGAATTTCAGTGATTGGCCTGCCTTCTTTGTCTTTGACCGGTCTCTCTGTTTTACTGTATTTCCCTGATAGTTTCTTCGTTGTATCATAAAGCAGTTTCATATTTCCTTCTCTAGCAGCTTTTCCCGCCTTCGTTGCTAGTTCTTCCACGTATTTCTTCTTGTCGGTTCTAATGCTTTTCTTCACTTGCTTGTTTGCTTCTATGTACTCAGCTTGTGCTTGGGATTTCTCTGCTCGTGTTCGGCTGTTGTTAATTGCTGACTTCTTGTTCTTTCTTTCTTTGATCTTGTCCAGAGTTTCTATAGAGATCCATTCCTTATGGTGGTGCTTCTTGAGGCCAAGAACCTCTTGACACGTTGAAGTTAATGTTTCTTTGATACCTTTCCAGTTGTCTTCCATAGTAGTTTTTTCTTCCTTCAGTAGGTTCCGTAAGGCTTGGAATCTTCCATTGTCCTTTGAAACTTTTTATTGATGCAAATATGATCTATCTGTTTCTCTGTGGTGTGGTCCGGTGAGATCCATGTAGCTTTGTGTATACGTTTGTGTGGAAATATTGTGCCTCCTATGACCAATTTGTTGAGTGCACACAGATTTGCAAATCTTTCTCCATTTTCGTTTCTCTCACCCAGTCCATGTCGTCCCATGATATCTTCATATTCGGTGTTGTCTATTCCAACTTCGGCATTTAGATCTCCCATTAGAATGGTGAGGTCCTTTCTTGGGCATTTCTCTATGATTGACTGCAGCCGCTCGTAGAATTGATCCTTAATGTCGTCGTTCCTATCATTGGTGGATGCATAATATTGGATAATATTCATTAAAATCCCCTCCTTCTTTGTTTTGAATGATGCTTTGATGATTCTGGATCCATGAGGTTTCCATCCTACAAGTGCATTTCGTGCTACTTTGGACAGCATAAGAGCGACTCCCTGAGTGTGTGGAGCATTTTCCTTTTCGTGACCGGAGTATAGCAGCATCTCTCCCGTAGCTAGCCTTTTCTGTCCAGCT